TCAAGAAATGGCTTGGAAACAAGGAGCCATCTACACGCGTGCGATATGTCGAGGCACGGAAGGCGGCAGCGAAAGCGGTGGCGAAAGCCAAAGCTGATTCCTGAGAGAAGTTTGATGAGGTGCTTGAGTGGAATTGCCACACGGCAAGCAAAGTATTCTGGCAGACCATCCGCCGGATGCGAGGTGAAAAAAAGGAAAATCTTAGATTCCTGAAGGACAGGTCTGGACAATCTCTTACAAAGGATGATTACATTCTTCGGCGATGGAGGGAGTACTTTGAGGAACTCCTTAACCCCGCGCAACCGCAATAAGACTCGGCTGTGGAGCAGCACGAAACAGATATGACAATCTCTGTAAATAAAATCGTACAAGCTGTGAAAGCTTGAAAAATGGAAAGGCTGCTGGAACTTGTAATATCCACATTTAAATGCGCAAACGTTTAGGCGCGCATTGCAGCATTCGGCGAACAAGGTATGCGCTATATTACACGTGTCTTTCAAACTGCAAATGACTGCGAGGAAAACACCAGTGCAATGGAGAACGGGAGTTCTGGTACTCTGTTCAAGAAATGGACATCTAAGAAAATCCTCCAATTATCGATGCGTCATTTATTGAACCACTCAGGTAAAGTGTACGGAAAATGGCTAGAAAGGAGATGCCTCCGAATAACCGATTCCGGGATAAGAGAAGAGTGTTTTAGCTTCGGGTCTGTGCGATGAACATTTGACCAAATATTCGACCTACGAAGGTTGCTGAACACTCGTTGGAGTTTCCTAAGCCAGTGTACAAGTGCGTTGTTTTACCGAATCCAGCGCAGCTGTTCGTTCGGGTGCCTGCGAGCATACGGGATAGATGGCCAGCTGCTAAGGGCCATCCACTCACTGTATTCTGATAGCAGGTGCTGTGTCAGAGTTAATGGCGTTAAGTTGAAACCTTTCAATGTTGGCATTGGTCTCCGCCAAGGCTGCCTCATGTCCCCTCTGTTGCTTGTGTGGTACACGGAGAGAGTAGTCAGACCCAGCCAATTCGTTGAGTTTGCCAGTGCAGAAGATGTTG